CCTATGGAAACCCAACTTAGAAGATGCCTTTCAACTTTCGATATTACTTTATTAGCAATTGGTCACATGGTTGGATCGGGTATTTATGTCTTGACAGCTTCAGTGTCACATAAAATGGCCGGACCTGGTATAGTGGTATCTTTCATTATCAGCGGTATAGCATCATTATTGGCTGCGTTATGTTATGCCGAATTAGGAGTTCGATATCCAAGAGCCGGATCAGCCTATTCTTATACATATTTGGCAGTAGGAGAATTTTGGGCCTTCATAGTAGGATGGAATGTTTCTTTGGAAAATATCATAGGCCTGGCTGCAGTTTCACGTGCCTGTAGCGCTTATATCGATTCATTATTAGGAGGAATTATTAAAAATGGCACCATTGGTTTAGTTGGTACCAACCACTCGGGTTTTTTGGCTGAAAGTTTCGATTTTCTGTCACCTGCTATATTAGTCGTCTTCGTGGTGTTTCTTTCTTTTGGTGCTAAACTGACTTCATACATCAACAACTTTTTCTCAATGATTAATATGGGAGTAATTTTAGTCATCATATGTGTAGGTGCTTACTTCTCGGATATTAAAAACTGGACTAATAAAGAAACTGGAGGTTTTTTACCTTTTGGATGGGAAGGAGTGTTTGCTGGTTCTGCCTCTTGCTTTTATGCTTTTGTGGGTTTTGACGCCATTGCTACAGCTGGTGAAGAAGCTAGAGAACCTCAGAAATCTATCCCGATTGCAACATTTTTGGCCATGGGTATTGCTACTGTTGCTTATGTTGGTGTTTCATCCGTACTTACTTTAATGATTTCTTATAAAGATATTACCAGTGATGCAGGTCTTGCAGATGCTTTCGCCGTACATAACGTTCCATGGGTAAAGATAATTGTTATTGTTGGTGCTTTATGTGGAATGGCCACGGGTTTAATCGGAGGACTGTTTGCTTTAACTAGAGTAGTATATAGCATGGCCGAAGACGGACTTCTCTTTAAATTTTTCTCAAGAGTAAGTAAAAACACGCAAATACCTCTTGTGGCTATGTATGTATTTTCGTTTCTATCCGCCATGCTTTCCATGCTGTTAGACATCAATACACTAGTTGAACTATTGTCTATTGGAACTCTAATGGCCTATTTGGTTGTAAGTGCTTCCGTTTTGATTCTGAGATATCAACCAAGGAAACTTATTGGAATTTATAGTAACGAAAGTCAAGAACTGTATTCAATGGGTGGTGGTTCTAGTACACCTGGATCCGAAGAAAAATTATCGCCAATTGATGAATGTGGTGGACAATTGAAAGACAGATATTTTTTTCTTAGCCGATTTTTCTGTTTTGGATTGGAACCTGGAACAATGGTTAATATATGCGTTGTGTCTTTGGTGGCTCTTTTTTTGATATTAGGAGGTTTAATTAAAGGTCTACCAACTCAAATTGCAGCGAAAGAGTGGTGGGTTATATTAATAATGGTGGTGTTATCGTTAATGATTATAATTGTATTCTTCACTATTGTAATACATGAGCAGAGTTCCATGCCTCTTAAATATAAGGTATGTACAGTACGTTATAATTCACATATTACATATTTATGACTGTTTAACTTCAACAATATAATTCGACATTTTTAATAGTTTTCAATAGAATAAAAATAAATATATTAAAATACCTTTGAATTTAGAATTGAAAATTTAGAGGTATTTTTAAGATGAATTTTTATAAACAGCAATGATTTATGAAAAATTTCTCCGGTAACTTCTTCCTCATTCTGTTATTCATTAACAGAATAATCGATGAAATTGCTGCATATCATTTTAAATAATTAGGCATTATACACTGGTAGTAAATTCGATTTAAAATATCTATTGAGTTATTTTTCTTTGTGTCTTTTATTATTTAAATTTATTAAATTTAATAATAAAATTTAANATTATATATATATATATATATAGGTACGGCTTTATAAAACACTGACTATTTATCCAACATCAGTTTTATGAAAATATTGCTGAAAGAAAAACATTCTCAATACTGTTGCCATTATAAAAAAATGACTAATTTGAAGTAAATGATCATTTCGTCACAGTCCTGAATGGACGTGTAAAGCTATTAGAAATGGTGTATCTAAAGCATTACAGCATTGATACGATAGCTGATACTAGGATTGTATCAGTGCATATGTTAACTAAATGATGTTTCGTAATATAAATATGTTGCATAATATTTATATATTACATATAGTATATTGGCCGACAATTGCAAAACTGAAAGAATAATTTTCCAATTCGAATTTCTTGCAAGTATGGATGTCGATAATGTTCGATCACAGAACAGCATTCGAGAAGACGAAATTCAATTTATATTAATCTATATGGATGACATGACAACCGGAGCAACGATGTGTGAAATTTATTCAATGCTCTGCAGATTAGACTACATGAGTTTCTCTATCGCATTCTTTATCGAGCCCTTCTTTAGAGCCAATCTATCTGGCAAACTATTTTCATACATAACTATAGCAAAAAGGATTCCATCTTCAAAATTTTTGCATTGAAATAAGATAAATGTTAAAAATGTGCGGTTTTCATATGAGATAGAGTGTAACTGTTTATGCAAAGCGTACAGTACTTCGATGATTTTAATGTTGGGCCAATACCATAAAGTATAATATCTTGTATAGATCACCTTTCCTTTAACCGAAATAACACCTGTCTCGTGTATCCTAATCTTTCGAGTTTGTTATCTTCAACAAGGATAACTTATCAAGTTCTTTAGCATCTTGGTCCGAGAAAATAATAAATTGTCTATATTGCTGTTTTTAGTAAGTAAACGTGTCAAATGTGATTTTTATCGTAGGCTTTTACTTTCCCGTCTATTATAGAATATAACATAAGAAAGAGCGTTAATCGGTCAAATTTTGACTCCTTGGTGTTTTTGCATTTCTCGACATCTTGACACTCCACTAGTCAAAAAATGTAAAAAGTTTCTTTACAGAATTCTCTCTATCTTTTGTATGTAGGGACGTGTGTAGATGTATAGGCGTTGTATGGATGTGTGTAGGCATAGGGTGGAAGTGTGTGTTTCGGCGTCTACTTTAGATTATATATCAGGATCAGATAGATCAAACATTTTAAAACTTCACAGGGTTATTTCTATATATGGGACATTGATAATACAGTGGAACCTCGGTATACGACCTTAATCCGTTCCTGATGTTTGGACTTATACCGAATTGGACGTATTCTAAAGCAGACGTATACTGAGGTACCACTGTACTAAATTTTTGCAGTTAAAAATCAAAGACTGTGGAAATAGAGGAGTCATCTGTCATATCTCGAGTAGAATAAGACTTAATGAACGTTTTACTTGTTATTAGCATTTACAATTTGTTTATAAACTCACTTCCATTCCATTCTTGCAAATTCTTTAATTTCGTCTTTCCATCTCCCGTTAGGTTTTCTGTTTTCTTGTTTTCTTTTTACTTCTATTTTTCGACCCAATATAATCTTGGTCCATCTATTGTCATGTCTTCTTTGTAATATGTCTAAGCTATTTTCTCTTAAAAGATTTGATCTAGACTATTATATCTTTTAACTTTGTTTGATCTCTTATCCACGAATTCCTCTTTTTGTCTTTAAGTGTTTGTTATCATTGATCGTTCCATTCTTTGTGTCTTTATCAATTAACAATGACGAAGCCAATTGTTATAAAATAAGTAGGTTAAACAATATTGGTCATCGGTAAAAACAGTCTTGTGGGAATATAACTTAGATAACAAGAAAAATATTTTATATGTGTACCGAATGACTGTTAAGTTTTAAATTATTTTTATTGAAAATACTCGTATTTATAGAACTTTTTACATTGTTATAATACAGTACTTTTCCAGCCATATTAAATAATGCATCAGTTTTACCTTTTTTTTAAGGGCAAAAAAAAATATAGTGAATTAGGAACCTTATTGTTTTGATAGTTAACATTTATTTTATTAGTAATTTCGCATGTATAGAAGATATTTGAGAGATGTTTAAATTGTTTTTATAAAATTTTATTTTTAATTTTCATAATTTAACTCATTGAAGAAAAGTATAGAGAAGAAAGACAGACAGAAAGAGAAAATGCTTAGGAAGATCAGATAATGACCTTTCCTGTAACAGACATCTGATTTAAAGTATTTCTCACTAAACATACTTATAAGAATATAAATTAAAGGTTTAACCTATATAATTTTATAAATTTTTATAGTAGTTATCCTTTTATTGTAATCAATACGTGTAATCATGAATATCGATCACTCTCACCTGAAAAGTATATGTTAAAGGTGTATATTTGTAAAAGCCATTACAAAAATGGATCAATTTTTATAAAAATTAATAATATTAACAACAAAAAGATTAATAATTTAAAGTGATAAATTACATAATAATAATTATAAAAATCTAATTATTAATTTTTCATATAATAAATTTNAGTCGAAGTTATTTAATATTTTTATTTTAAAACTTCTATTTTCTGAAAAGAGATAACTGAGATTTTATCAAATTTGCGCTTATATGGAGTGTTTGGCTTAGAGAATTAATAAAAGAAAAGTGTATAAATTGAAAAATTATCATAATTTAATGAAAAAGTTGTTTTCTTCTAGTACAAAAATTTCGACATTTAAGCACACTTCAATGTGTGTACTAACAGAGATATTGCAAATGTCCAACTTGCATTCAATAGCATATAAGGTTTGACATTGTCGATAACCTGACAGATTCTGCCTCAGACTATTCAAATTATGCACAGATGTACGATTCATTCGATTATTTACAAAATCCCACATGGAAAAAGTCCAGTAGAGTAAGAAAATTGTTCTTAATCTTAAGATAAGACAGTAGATTTCTATTGTCTGGGATACTCCACCCAGAAATTGCTTTATCTAAATCGAGGAGCCACATCTTATTGAAAAATGTCATTAGGAATAAGTTGCAAGATAGCACAAGTTGCAACATGTCCAAATAACACTAAATATCGATTCTACGGAGACGAATAATCGGGTGTGGCCTAAAAAACGCGAGAGAATGGTTTGTAATTCTCCTGTGATTGAATTGTATTCAAATGCTCGTTTACGTTGAACAACAGATTTTATAGATTTCTGGTAAGTCAAGACACACGTCAATTCCTATGTAGTCTCTACTGTATCTATTAAATCCTCCGATAGTCGCCATATGGTTAGTTGTTTAAATATATTTATTCTAAAAGTAATATTATTTTTTAAAAAATAACTTGAATTATATTACATAAAGTTATTAGGGAATAATAATGATATTAAGATGATGATTAATTTGTATTATTCTTGTATTAAATTTATTTATTTTTTAAGTTTCCTGTCACTTATCTTCAGATTGTACTTCTTTTATAGAATTTATTTAAAAATAATAATGATTTTTAATTTTTTTAAATAATTAAAACATTTTTAAAATATCTTTTTTTTTTAATAAATTACTATTAGATTTTATTTTATTATAGAAATTAATAACTATAATAACAGAATTATTATTTATAAAATCGATCGCTAGTTATATATTAATAATTGCGTTTTAACAGATAATTACTTCCATTATATATTTAAAGAATAATAAATTTAAAACTTTCAAGCATAGTTTATTAAGATTTATGATAAATTAATAATTAGAGAGATAATAAAAGACGGAAAATGAATCTAAACTTTCCAGTCGTGTGCGAAATAAAGGTTTCAGGACTTATATACGTGAATTAATTGATGTAACATGATAAATGAATAACATTGAACTAGAGAGAAATTCAAGAATGAATAAAATTAATTTGATCTGTGATAAAGATAAGAAGTTATTCATTGTATTTCTTATAATAAACTGTATATAAAGAATATATAAAATTTAGAATTATTCTTATTTTATATTCAGTAAAAAAAAATTGTATAATTTTAAATGTAATAAAATTTATTTTTATAATTTAATTTATTTATAATAGTTTAGTAGATTTATTATCGAAGATCAAACACAAGAACACTTTAAGGCTCCGCATTTAATATTTATTAA